GATTTCTACCTAACTTGGCATAAAGCAAACTATTATTAGAATAATATTTTTCTTTTAGGGTATTTGATATTAAGGAATTGGGGTTAGTGATAAGTCTTCATTCTTGTTTGGTTAGCATGACTTTATTGAAGTATGTTAGATTCCTAAAACAAATACCTCATTCTTACTTAGGTTTGCACAATTTTGACCATTTCTTCCAAAGGATTTACCAGAAATTACACGTCAACTTTTCCATCTTCTTACTTAAAGGTTTGGGAAGTAGTAAGGAACTTATAATGTAGGCAGGGATAGCTTAGGCCACCGTCTTTATTAGGGTTGTGCGCTCTGCATATGATAATCCAGTTGCTTTCAAAACTTTAAGTTTCTGTCTGATCTTGTCAATTAGAAATTTTAATGTTTGATCTTTTGATTGACATACTTGAGTAGGAAGATCAAAATTGGTGTGGATCTTCTCAATTAAAGGAATTTTTATCCACTTAGTGAAGGCATTTTTATTCTCTTCTGAAGTATTCCAGATGAACATCTTCTCAAACATGTTGAAGTTTATATTTTGACGTGAAACTCCTTGATAAGTATTTATGATGTTGATGAGTGTTCTAGCTTCAATCTTTTCTACTCGTAGATATCAAACTGTTATATGCAAAGAATAAGTGGGTGATATTTGTGAGAATATGGACATCAAAGGTCTTGAAGGGAGGTGGCGGGGGGGGGGGGGGGGGGAGTGGTTGAATAAACCTTTTTCCAATTAGAGAAGTATAAAAACAATTTTAGGTCCCATGCACGAAATCTGAGATTTTAAGAAGCGAGGAAGAAAAACATAAAATAAGAGATCTTGGAAGCACCTCAATAAATTGATCCTTATGAAATGATACATGATGCCCTTTATGCATTTGATTGCTTCAAATTCAAGTCAATCACAAAACTACTCAAGTAGCTTTTAACCAAAGCTATTTCAAAACACTTAGCTCATAGTTTCTAACAAGACACAATTGAAGTCATGATACTTCAATAAGATTGATACACCACAGACTTAAGCTATAAGAAAAGTCTAACTTATGTGGTATACAATAAATGAAAATATGCAACAATGCAATAGCATGGCAATGGATATTAAAAAAGTAAAAGAGGTAAGAGAATAAGAAAAGATACACAATGATATATAATGGTTTGGATGTTTTCCTTGCATTACCTACTCCACTATTCAATGGTATTTAAAACCATTAGAAAATAATCACGACCTTACACTATTTTGATAAGTTTTATTACATCATTTTGATTATAACTAACTATCATACGATAATTCTCCATATTGATGCAGACACTAAAACTGTTAACAAAAAGTCAAAATATCTAAAGGATCTTGATCCAATAACCTTGCTACACACAATAATTCTACTCTAAGTATTCATATGTGGCAATCCACATGATTCCACTGATATCTTGTCTGAGCGATTGTCATAGCCAAGTGTTAATTGGATAACTCTCAAATTTATCTGCGAGCAATCTTTCTCCAACGCCACCAAAGATGAACAACTTCCATTTCCTCCTTACAGACAATTGATACTTGATCTCGCCAAAGTCTTCATTGGAGTATAATGGAAACTCTATTCTTTGTGAATAACAAAAAAAAATACCAAATTGCATTCAAGAAATGATACCAACACCTGTTACAAATATCAAACTTCACACAAAAACATTAGTAACTCTAATGTGCCACTAGTCTCCCTCAACACTCAATCTTTAAAGTTGAAGGTCCTCAACAAAGGAACATGACTAAGGAGAAAGATGATGAATAATGCCTGAATATCTCACAACAATTCACAAACACAATGTGATAGTCAAGTGTTTTAGATAATGGTGAATGAAGAACACCCACACACACAAGACTCTCTCAAGTTTCTAGATAATGGATCTTGGCTTTGATTGTTATCAACAAATTGATTAACCATGAACACACACAAGATTAATCAACTCTCTCTCTCTAATTCACTTAAACACAACAACAAAAAGAAGAATGAATTCAATCATGAATTCATGATCAAGAAGTTTTAGTAGTGAAGAAGAGAAAGAATCATGATGATGGAAATGGACACACAAAGAGTAGAAGACTAAATCACATTTTTGTCTCTATGGATATTATCATAGGTTTCACACTCTTTTTCTTGCTTTCATCAAAATAAACAAATTATTTAAATGAGAGATGGGAAATTAGATTTTAAAATACGTGATGCGAATCAAAAAGAAAGTATGATTCTAATCAATCTGGACAGTCCCTAAAGCAGAGTTTTTCAAGCTTCATGATTCGAATCATAATGTGCACTTGATTCCAATCAAATGACGTTATCATTCGAATCATGTTCAATATGTGATTCGAATCATGTTCAATTTGTGATTCGAATCATTTTATCCAAAGGAAATTTCTAATTTTCACAGGTGTATGATTCAAATAAGATATAACACTTGATTCAAAAGGACCAAGACATCTAAATTTAAATGTTCTAACTTGTGATTCAAGTTATGCCTGCGAAAATGACAAAATAACAATTTTATGGGCTTAGAAAAAGAAAATGCCAACAAAGATCAAATGAATATAACTTATTAAATGTAGAGGATTCTTAGTAATACAAATTTACAATAGCCGAAACAATTATAAATAAACTCAAAAGATAAAAGCATACAAGCACACAAACAAAATATTATTCAAATTATAAATACACAAGACTATTAACTAATAATAGAATCGACAAAAACATTAAAACACAAATAATACTTAAAACACATAAAAGATACTATAAAATACTATGTGCTTTCAATATTAAAGACTTTTCTAACTATATATATATATATATATATATATATATATATATATATATATATATATATATATATATATATATATATATATATATATATATATATATATATATATATATATATATATATATATATTCCTTTTCTTTGTTTTTTTGTCAGAGATTCTTTTAATAAATTGGAAAAAACATCAACTCATAAGATAAAAAAGAGGACTTGCTTATCTTATTCCTCTAGTAGGGATGAAGTTATTAATAGGATACTCATTTATAACAATGAAGGACATTCTAGCAATGCATCTCATAATGGTTTGGGGGATATCAGTAGAAAATTTCACAACCAAAAGGGTATTATTTATGAAATCACATTTCAATCTATCATAGGCTTTTACCTTTCCATCTTAATGCTTGCATAACCTTTTTTATTTTTAAGGAGGTTTCTTAATTGGTTCAAACCGCGTAGACTATGATGGTGTTGTAAGTAATTAATCTCTGTTTAACAAGAAAAATTAAAAAAAAAATTTATTTTTAAATATTTATATTTAATGTATTAAAAATTAAAATAATTAACTTTTTTAAAAAATAAAAAATATATTTTCTTGAAAATACATGTACACAATGCATTACAAATTAAAATGATTGATTTATTTAAATAATATATTTAAAAATTTTAAATAATATTTTTAGAACACTCGTTAACCTAATCCATAATGATAATATTGCAAGAGACGTGTCTATTTTAGAAGTACTCGAGGAATTTTTAACCTTGGGAATTAAAAAAATGGAGGTTTTTTTTATAAAATTGATTTAAATATTATTTATTTATTTCATTTTATACTTGACTGACATCTGTCCGATTTAAAAATAATTGATATTAATATATTAATATCCATTAGAGTCGGCAAAACAGATTGTATTTATCGAGCCGACTCAAAACTTTTTTCAAAAAATTTTGGATTTGAATATAAGAATTTGAGTCTGTTTATTATCTGGATTTTTAAGTTTGGTCCGTTAAAAACTCGAGTCTAACTAAGTTAGTCAGAACGGATGGGAATTATCATTTTATTTAACTTTTCTAAATATAAATTCTAAGACACTCTACTCTATTAATAGTGTTCTTATTTTTTTAATTACACTGTAGTAATATTTAATTCAATATTTTAAAAATTAAATCGAACCGGCTGGTTCAATCGATTAGATCGGGAATCGAAGATGAATTTAATTGGGTCAACTTTTAAAAATTGTTAGTGAGTCAAAATCCGTGTAAAATCGAAAAAAACGGATTGAAATGTCCAAAATCATTCAAATCAAAGAAGTGGAGTCAATTTTGTAAACCCTTCTGGTTCAAAAAAAATACACTTTTTTTTTTAATTTTTTTTAAATTTAATATGATATTATCAAAACTTTATGTTCATTCCTCAATCACAAAAAAGAATTTCGTGATTTTGCTACAACCATAAAACTTTTAAGTTTTTCATTTTGTTATAGTTTTTCTTTCAACAATACTTCATCATAATCACACCATCCTTTTCAAACATAGTTACACAGTCCAATTCAATATTAGTCATTGTTCTAAACAATATTATTTGTTGTAAATTATGACTTGATTATCATATTCAACTTAAAATTTTTTGTTGTTGTTTAATAACAGTGTATTGTATTGTTTATTTTTAATATTTTAATTATTTTTAAATGAAGGTTAAGATGAAATTCAACTATATCAGATTATTATATATACAATCGATATTATGTTTAAAACTTTTGAAAAATTTATTTTACTAAATCATAAATATATAATTATGTGTGACATGTTTATCAAATTTATATTTACCAAATTTAAGTTAATATTATTAATTTATTTAATAAATAATTTAACTGTAAATTTAATCAATTGAATCAATTAAATTTTAAATTTCGATCTGATTTTTAAAAATTGATTTAACTTTTTATACTAGGTGTTTTTAAATGATTGATATCAATACCGAGAAAAATGTATCATGACTCATGAGTATAGGAACTAATATAAATAAATGATCGACGTACACGTGACCATATCAACGACACGTAGCAACTACGTGTTGAGAAAACAGCCAAATTATAATGAGACGTGCCTAACAAACCTCTTTTATTCAATCTTTTCAGTTGAAGCATCTACATAGACAGAACACAAGTACAAGAGAAAGCAAAAAAATGAGTACTGGAAACGAAAACTGGAGGACAAATGCAGAAACACACAAGATGAGTTCAGAACAAGTAAAAGCAGCAGGAGTGGAAGATTCAAAGAGACCACCAGGTAGTAGCCATGGCTCTGGTAGAAATGTTCTTCACCAAAGGAAATCACTTCCATTCAACTATTCAACAATGGCTGTAACTGGTTTGCTTATTACAGCTGCTATTGGATATACGGTTTTGTATTCGAAGAAGAAACCAGAAGCTACTGCTGGTGATGTTGCTAGGGTTTCTGTTGGGGTTGCAGATCCTGAGGACACTCGCCCTAAGAAATAGATAGCCATATTTAGGCAACATGAAGATGTTACTGTCTTTTATATTGTGATGTATCAATAAAATTATGATATTCTTAGGCATAGTTGTTTTGATATATAAATCAATCCTTGTTATAATTATTTTAGTTCAAGATGGGTTTGCTTTTCTGATTTTTTTTCTTGACTTCTAGATTTCTAGAATGCATTAACCGAACTACCTAGCATAGAATTCGGATAACAAACAAGTTTTTTCAATACAGTATTCACTGGAGGTGAAAAAAAACCGAACCCAATTCAAATCGGTCCTTGCATCTGGCTTCTATAGGTGTGACCGGTAGATATAGTTGTTGGATTTTGTGTTATCTTTTGGAACAAAGGATAGAGAGAGAAATTGTTGTGACTTAGTTAAGTGTAATTAACTTTTTAATATGTATTATATTTTCTACTCTATTAATTATAAACATAATGGTCTTTTATATAGGTAAAACGTTTAGGTCTAAATGTATGTTAAAAGTTCAAATAATTAGATAACAAGAATTAATCAACTAATAGACTCCTTAATTCATGTTATCAAGACTTCTCATTCTAATGTCTTTCTTTAACTCTTCGAATCTCATTTTATTAAGAGGTTTGGTGAATATGTCAGCTAGTTGCATTTCTGTCTTGTAATGTCTTTCTTTAACTCTTCGAATCTCATTTTATTAAGAGGTTTGGTGAATATGTCAGTTAGTTGCACTTCTGTCTTGTAATGTTTTATTTTAAGCTTCTCTTTGTTGACTTGTTCTCTCAGAAAATAATATCTTCTTTCAATGTGTTTACTTCGATCATGATACACCGGGTGATTCGCAAATCTTATAGCTGACTTGTTATCAACAAACAGTTTCATCTTCGATTTCATTATTCTGAGTTTCTCAAGTAGCATTTCGATTCATGTTGCTTGGCATGCAACATATGATGCAACCATATATTCTGTTTGGCATGATGATAAAGCCACAATGTTTTACTTTCTCGAATTCCAGGAGATTTGAGCTTCTTCGATCATGAACATGTATTATGCAGTATTCTTTTTTTTCATCTTGATCTCCACTGAAGTTTGAGTCAGTGTATCCATGAACTTCGACATCTGAGCTTTTTTTTTTGATTTCTTTGGTAACAGCATGCCATCAATAGTTTCCTTTATGTTTCTCAACACCCTATTCACTGTGATGAGATGACATTCTTGAGACTTCTTCATAAATCTGCTCAACAATCTTACACTTTGGCAGATATCTGGTCTAGTATTGCAAAGATACCTCAAGGGTCCAATGACTTATTTGTAAAGGGTTGAACTTACAAACTCATTATTCGATTCCTTTTTCAGCTTTGCTCCAGTCTCTAATGGAGTAACAGTTGCCTTACAATTGTTCATATTGAACCTCTTCAGTATATCTTGAGCATACTTCGTTTGATGCAAGAAAACTCCTTCTTCGATGTCTTTGAATTCCATTCCCAAGAAATAGGAGAGATTCCCTAAATTAGACATTTCAAATTTCTGCATTAACTTCGACTTTACCGTTATTATCTCAGCTTCGTCTGTTTCTGTAATGAGTAAGTCATCAACATAAAGACATAAAATGATTCGATTGACACTTTCGACATCATTTACATATACTCCATGTTCAGATACACACTTTGTGAAACCTGCTTCAATTAGGAAGCCATCTATCCTTTTATTCCAAGCTCTAGGAACTTACTTCAAACCATAGAGAGCCTTCCTTAATCTGTAAACTTTCGAATCCTGCCCTTTGACGTCGAAACCTGGTGGTTGGATAACGTAGACTTATTCTTTCAGTGGACCATTCAAAAACGTTGACTTTACATTAAGTTGATGTATTTTCCATCCTCTACATGAAGCTATCGAAACAATAATACTGATTGTTTCGATCTTGCAACAGGTGCATATACTTCATCAAAGTCAATACCAGGTTTTTGTAGAAAACTTATGGCAACCAGTCTTGCCTTATACTTTGCAATCTCATCATTTGGCCGTCGTTTCACTTTGTAGATCCATTTCACATCAATTGGTTTCTTGTTGGTTCTTTCGACAAGCTCCCAAGTCTTGTTCTTCTTAATGGCTCTAAGTTCTTTTTTCATGGCTTCACACCAATTCAAATTGCTCAAGGCTTCGCCCAAATTAATTGTTTCTGCTTCATTCATCATCAGGGCTTCTTCGATTAAGTCACCATATGCATCGATTTCTTGATCTGAAAACCTCTCATATCCAATCAACCTAGTTGACTCAGTTCTTGTTCTTGTGGACCTTCTTTCATTCTGCACATGTGGTTCTTCATTTCGACTTGTCGAAGCTTCGTTCTGTTCATCTTCTTCGAACACAGTTGTGACTGTGTCTTATTCTTGTTGAACTGAACTTCGACTCCAATCCCACCATTTGCTTTCGTCTACAAGAACATCTCTACTGATCACTAATTTATCTTCGATTGGTGAATACAACTTGTATGCACCAATCGAATAATAACCTATGAGCACCATGACTTCACTATGACCATCCAGCTTCTTTCTCAATTGTTCAGGTACATGCCTGAAACAAATTGATCCAAAAATTCTAAGATGAATTACATTTGACTTCGACCCTATCCAAGCCTTATGCGGTGTCTTTTTGACCATCTTCTTCGTTGGGCATCTATTTAGAATGTATACTGTCGTCGAAGCTGCTTCAGCCCAAAATCTCTTAGGCATATTCCTAGCTTTCAACATATATCTCGTCATGTTCAGTACACTGCTATTCTTTCTCTCAACTATACCATTATGCTGAGGCGTATAGGGTGCAATAACCTCATGCTCTATACCTTCCTCATTGAAAAATCTAGCAAATTCAGTAGAAGTATATTCACCACCACCATTAATTCTTAACTTCTTCAATTTGAAGCCACTTTGTTTCTCAGCATGCAACTTGAACTTCTTGAACTGTGTGAATACCTCACTTTTCTTTTCAATAAAGTAAATCCACATATGTCTGATGAATTCATCAATGAAAGTAAGGAAATACCTGTTATCCCCATTTGACTTAACTTCAAAGGATCCACACACATCTGAATGAACCAGCTCCAATTTTTGCCTTGATCTTATAGGCAAGTCACGTTTGAACGCCTTCCTTGCCTGTTTAGCTTTGCAGCATTCCTCACATATCTTCTTAGGTTCCTTCACACACGGCAACCTAAACACCATTCTTTTCTGATTAAGCATACATAAGTTCTTGAAGTTTAGATGTCCATACCTGTGATGCCATAGCCAGTTCTTGTCTTCTTCTATAGTTGAAGCAAGGCATTTGTAATCTGATGTGTTGATTTTAACCTTGAATGTTTTGTTCTCCGCCAATGATGCTTTCATTATTAGCCTTCGATCAACCCTATATACCTTCATCTGATTATTCTCCAACTTCATATTGAAGCCTTTTGCAAGTAATTGACCTACACTTATCAAGTTACTTGTCATCGAAGGTACATATAGAACTTCAGTGATAGTAGCCTTTTGACCATCCTTTCTGATAATTGAAATATCTCCTTTACCACCTGATTTGATATGTATGACATCTGCAAACTTTATCACCTTTTCGACTGACTCATCTAACTTGGTAAACCAGTTTTTATTGCCAGTCATGTGGTTGCTACATCCTGAATCCAGATACCACATGTTATTTTTTTCATTAGTCAATTGAGTGTTCACCACCAAAAACATATCATCAGAATCACTATCTCCAGCTCATGCATATTGAGCTTCATCACTATCTTTCGACCTTGCAGCTTTCTTTCTTCGACAATCTCTAGCATAATGGCCAAAACCTTGACAATTGTAACATTGTATCTCTTTCATGTCAACTTTCTTCCTAGAATACTTATTGCCCACACCTTTTGAATCAGTATGCTTACTTGACTTCTCATCATCATCAAGATTATTTCGCTGCTTCGACTTCTCTTTTCCAGCTTTCTTGCTGAATCTTAATTGCAATGCTTGCTCAGCTGCCTTCTCTCTTTCTGAGTTTCTCTACTGCAGCCTCATGTCACGAGCCTCCAATGAAGCTTGAAGTTCTTCCAACTTCATCTTAGATAGATTCTTGGCCTCTTCAATTGTCACAACAAAGTAATCAAAGTCTGCAATTAAAGATCTCAATACCTTTTCTATCTTTTGCAGATCCGTACACGCTTCACCATACGTCTTCATTTGGTTTGTTAGCGTAACAACTCTTGAGAAATATGCAGAAATAAATTCATCTTTTTTCATCTGAAGCATCTCGTACTGCTTTCTCAGAGTCTGCAACTTCACCTTTTATCATCTCCAGCATACAAAGATTTCAGCTTTTCCCAAGCTCCTTTTACTGTTCCTTCTTCAATTATCTTCTCGAATATGTCACAATCCACACACTAGTGAATCAAGAACAACGCCTTGTCGTCTTTCTTCCTTTGATCTTTGTGCGTAGCTTTCTGGGCTTCCGTAGCATCTACTTCCAGTTCTAATATTCCATCATTCAATATTTGTACGACATCTTGAAATCTGAAAATAACCTTCATTTACGCAACCCACCGTTGATAGTTTTCACCTTTGAAAACCGGTAGATTCGCTAGAAACTGTGTTGATGTTGTTGACTCGTTTGCCATTAGTTTCTCTATGAATCGCAAACAAGCTCTTGATACCAATTTATTGGAACAAAGGATTCAAGAAAGATGATTTTGTGAACACAAGAAGAAGAAGAAGAAGAGAGAGAGAGAGAAATTGTTGTAAGTTAGTTAAGTGTAACTAACTTTCTAACTGAATGTATTATATTTTCTGCTCTATTGATTACAAACATAATGACCCTTTATATAGGGAAAATGCCTAGGCCCAAATGCATTCTAAAAGCCCAAATAACTATATAACAAAAATTAACCAACTAACATTATCATGTAACAGTCTCTAACCGTTGAGTCACTTGCTTGGTAGATTAGAGGTTATGGAAAGTTTTATATATTTTGCTCACTCTATTTTTTA